AGGAGGAGGAGGAGGAGGAGGTAGAAGTAAAGGAAGCAGCCGAGGGACCAAGAAAATAGAGTTGGAAATGTAATTCGGTCATTTTATTTATAAACTCACTTTTTTTCTAGTCTTTTATAATCTAATAATGGTTAAAATTTTAGCATCAACGCTTTTTTCAAATGTTTCACGTTGCTGCCTTCAATGTACCACCATGACAACTTAATTAATTTAATTACAAACATTGTTTTTCCCCCCTCTTTTTATGGAAAAATTAGAAACAAGACCCCTACAAAATTAAAATAAATTTCCATGAGATAATAAAAGTAATTATAAAATAGGACCAACTACTAAATGTAACTTCCTGGACTAAATTGCATACTAAGCAAAGTATTGAAGTTGAAATCAAATGGTGGTGCTTGCCTTTGACCATGTTTCTGTTTGTAATTTTGTATTTGATCGTGTGCCTTTGAGTAGCCTTTGGTTGGTTTATCTGAATTAACAGAAATAACAGTCTATCGCCATAGTAATACTTTAAGTAAGATTGCATCCTTAGTTATTTCTTTCTTTGAGCAAATTGATTAATGATAAAGACAAATTCTTTGCTCCGTCAGTTCTCTAACAAAAGTTTTTTTTTATATCTTATTTTTTTATATCAATTTTTTTTTTTAAAAAAATAATTCATTTAAGAAAATCCATACTCATGACAATGTTTCAAATATGATGATTAAGTTTTTACTCACGGAAAAATTAATCTTGCCACACCCCACCCTTTCTAAATTACTCGTGCAAAGCATAACAGCAGGTCAGTGCCAACACCTCCCAATGTCAAAAATCTGGCAGCATGCCGTCCACTGTAAGCTATCGTCATATTTACTTAACCAACTTGACCTATAAAACCTGTAGCATTTATATTTAGAAATATATTATTAGGCAGTAAATAATCCCACATTCCTAAACATATACTCTACTTATGCAGCAGGCATAATAAATCACTTACACCAATTAAGCATACACCATATTAATGAGTAAACATTTACTAATGAACCCATAAGAACAATTTCAGCAACTTAACCCTTTTAAAAATCATGTTTTCTTCAAGAAAATGGAGGGAATATAGTTATAGCATGAAAATCTACAACAAAAATTACATAAAACAATTTTCTTAAAATTTTTACAAATTTTCTTACCTTATTTTTCCTGATTTTCTTCTCCCCTTCTTCTCCTCTTCTCCCTTGGCTTTTTCTCTCTCTATCTTGCACGAAAATGGTGTAGAAAACTCTGGACAAACCAGTTTAAATCTCCATGTTAGGTGATGGTAACATATACACACTTCTCTTATGTTTGTTTTTTCTCAATTTGCTACAACCTAATTGGCTAGTCACAATTGTTGACTTTTCTTCCCTTTTTTTTCTTCTTTCCCCCTCATTCTTTATTAGTTCTCTCCTTGTATGCACAAAATTGGTAGAAAATTCTGGAATAAAAACTGCTTAAATATCCCCTCTTTCAGTCGACAATAGCTCATGGGGCAAAAGACTATTTTGCCCCTCATCTTTTTCATAAATTTTCAACTATGTCCCTTTCGAGCATAACTCTTTTTTTGACCCTAGAAAACCACTTCAATGTCCTTCTAATCCCCCAAACTTTAAAACCCAAGCCAAATTGAGCTATCTACCATTTTTCATAAATTTATTCATTTAAATTTTTAAATTTTTATTTTTGTAGTTAAATGAACTAATTTAGGGTTTCCATTTCTGTACATGGGTTTTTCCTTTAATTTCTTTTTCTTTCATTAAAGTCTCATATTCCAATACTAAATAGGATCCTTCTAAGCCTTCCTAAGGTTAGGGGCAAGTAAATATAAATTATTTCTGTTAAATTTAAATTTCTCCAAATAGCATGTACTAAACTTAATGCATGCAATGCAAGAGAATGTAATAAATAATGCAATGCATATTTAAGTGTGTATGGTGTGCAGTTCAAATATTCCAACTTGGTTTTGAACGTTACACTTAGAGTTTTTTTTTTTAATATTTGACTCATTTTTTCCATAACTTAATTAATAAATTCTAGCCCAAATATATTAAACTTAATTTTATTTTTTAGGTAAATATAATTTTTGTCATTGTAGTTTTTTAAATAATTTTTTAAAATAGAAAACAATTTTATAAAACAAATACAAACATTTTGTGATTTCCTATCCAAACAAAATGTTTAAAATTTAATGGATTAATAATTAAATTCATTATTAGTTATTTAATAATTAGACAAGTTAGAATTTAACTTATTTAATGATATAATCTTAAATTTAAAATTTTCTCTTGTTCTCTAACAAAATTAAACAATTTACATTTAAAAAGAAAATAAATTATTTAAAAAATACAATGTCAGAAAATTATATTTAACTAAAAAAATAAAATTAAGTTTAACATATTTGGGTTAGAATTTTTTAATTAATTTAAGGAAGAAATGAATGAAATAATTTTAAAAAAAAGTCTTAAGAATGTTGAATAGAGTGATAATAGAAAATTGTGGAATTTAAATTTTTTTGTCTTTTTATCCTCTAAGATACAAACTTCCAATTTTACCTATTTATTTTATGATGAGGGTGCATATTTAATAAAGTTGATATGCAAAATACCAAAATTATAATTTTAAGATTAAAAGTGATAAAAATCCCTATTTTTAGAATGCAATTGACAAATTAGTCACACAAAAATGGAGGCAACTGGAAAATTATTATACAAAGAATACTTCAGTTGTATATGTTATTATTATATTGTTATAAAAATCTCTTATAATAATTATAATTAAGAATTATATATTTTAAATAAAATTTGAATTAAATTATAGAATTATAGAATCAGAATTTCATTTTTAGTAATTTATTTGTTATTAATTCCTGTCATATATACTTATTAATTCATGTGGCATGTAAAGATTCAAAGGGGATCAAGCTTCCCATTACTCCAGGTCACCGTTGAATGTAAAAAATTAGTTCCAGACCTTTTTATTATATATATACATACATACGTGTATATATATATATTGTGTATATATTTGTAACAGTGTACACTAGATATTATGGAGGAGCAAGTCTTCGCAATGCATCATGACCAAGTAGACCGCCCAGCTCATTGGGAGGAATATTGGTCAAAAAGTTAGTATATACATTTTTTTCTCTAAAAATATGCTTAATTTTTACTTTCAACAAAATATTTCAATGTCAACCATTCAACAAAGTTTCTTTTGAAAATTTTCACAAGAATATTTTATTTTAAGATCTATTTTTTGTATTTTCTCATTTCTTCTTTATTTTTTATTTTAACAACTCTTTTTGTAATATTTTTGAGAGAAAAATAGAGTCAAAGATTTGACAGAGAAATAGGTTTTTGCTCAATGGAAAAAAAATATGTACATATAAAACAATGTACAATAGTTTACAAACGTGTGCTGAAAATAATATCTTGTGAACTTCTATTTTTTTTTTTTTTTAAAAAAGGTTTTGAAGTGAGGTGATGACTTGGAGATTTTTTTTTTCCCTCAATCACTTTACCATGGTAGCCTCTAATGTTATCTTAATACTCCATATCACTAAATTGTTAAGATTTTAACCAAAGGACCATGTGGGCTAATTTTATGAAGTTTGAGGTCCAATGTGGTAAAATCCGTTGCTTAAGAATCAGAGTGAAATTCTGCCAGAAGAAAAAAAAAAAAGAAGGAATATGTGGGAAAAGATGCTTACTGCTAAGAACCAGGATGGTACTTAACTCTCTTTGTCTATATACAAAGAAAATGCTAATTTAAGGAAAGAATACTTACGAGCAACGTTGTCTAGTCGGTTACAAAAAGCAATATATCAGCATTACTTCTGTTGATTTTTGAATTTTTTTATTTTTTATTTTTATTTTTTTTCAAAACAGAAACAAATTCGTTGCATTCATGGATAAGATACAAGTCAACACAGAGGAACCATCTCCGAGGTGAAAGGATTAGTCATGGCCGGTCCTCGTTTCTCTTTAGTACGCGAGAGGCAAAAGCAGGATCTACTTTCCTCGACTATTAGTGATCACAGAAAACAAAGAAAAAAAATTATGATACTCAGGAATTTCTTCTTCTGGGATCTAACTTGCAAATTCAAGGTAATTTATTATTTAACCAAAAAAAAAAATTTGCTTGGCTACTTTTGTTGTACGTATTTGATCAGCCTCACTAAGCATAGGTAAGACTGCATGCATCCAAGGATTTTATCCATTAATTAATTATATATGCGGGACCAGATTGAGATCAAATTTAATTATAGAATTAAACAAAATATACTGATGTTTTTATCATTAATTAATTTTTAAGAGAATATAAGTGTAACCATTTAAAAACTATTAGTCCAAATTGTTAAGTTTAACCTATTCACTTAAAACACTTAAACTTAAATTGTTTAATAGAAATTATCAAACTCCAAAATTAACGTAACATGAGATATTATAATTTTTCTTACTTAAATGCTTAACATTCTTATTAAGTTACAAATTCATATTCATATTTAAATAAAAATAGATTCAAAAATTATTTTACTCTAATAACATTTATAAAAACCTAAGATCTACTAACCTAAACAATTGTTAAGTTTAAAATGTTAAGTTAAAATATTTAAACTCAAATTGATCAATAAACAAAAGTAAGCTATTAATTGAAAAACATTATAATTACACAACTCTTTCCCTCTGTCCTGCTCCAAACAATTCAAAGGTTGCAATGTCTATAAACCTGTAAAATTCATTACACAAACTCGTAAAAACTCCTCAAAATTGGCAGCAAGCTAGCTAGTAGTTTTCTTAAGTAGACAACTTTTATTTTTGTTTCTACAGTTAAATGTAACTAGGGACATCAGAATAACTTGTTTCCCTGCACTCAAAGTAAACTATTTTTAGGTGTGGCAGAGAATTAAGCTAGGTCATTTTGCCAGTCACCACTGAGAGTAATTAAGGTAGAACACATGCCTCTCACATCCTTTATTCTCTGTCTTAAAGCCAACCGAGCTCATCCCAATCCCAAATAGGCTCATCTTCAATGCTGATATCCCAATTCTTGAAGGCCTCAGCTTGACGATCAGCAGGTGTGCAGTTTCTCTCCATTGTAGGAAGGTCATTAGGGTGATGAGATGTTGTTGGCTCGTCGACAATGTGAGCTTGCTGGACATTTGCCTTGCCCGACATTGGTGTAGATGGCCGTCTGTCAAATGCACGAGCCCATTTATTTGAGTTTTTGTACACTCTGCACAAACTAAACTCCTTCCTTAGCTGCAAAGATATTAATAGTGCACTCAGAATTTTTTATTTTTTATTTTTTTCGCGGGGGGGGGGGGGGGGGGGAGGTTAATAAGTAACAATTGGTATTAAGAATAAATACATTTGAATTATTGTTAAGAATTTAAGAAATAATTAAAGTATTCAAAAATGGTTAAAAAGTTACGCATACTACTTTATTTTTTTTACAATTTATCTTAACAATCAATACAATAGATTTTTGAATAATAGTTTTAAAACGACATTTTTCTTGATATATTAAATTTAAATCAAGACAAATTATTGTTTCAAGAATGACCCTGATCCGTTTGTATTATTAAATTGGCGTCCAATTTAAAGTTTAAATCGATCTAGTGGGAAATTATTTTAAATCATCGCCACTTAATAGAAAATTAAATTATATAAATAAAATGTTTATTTCCAATACATAAACTGGAGAATCCATTTGCTTCCTCAAGTTGGCCGCCTTCATTATTGTTAATGGGGCCATTTACATTTCTCGGAAAGGTCAATCACACTAAACCCAAATAATAATGAGTGTCAGCTGCAGGGGCTGCTGGGTTTCTTCATTTTTGATATAGGATGTTTCTTTTGTTGGCTTCTGGATATATTTTTTGAATTTCTCGATTGTAAAGTGATCCTTTTGGATCTCTATTAATGAACTCCCTCCTTTGAAGAGTGTCTGTGTGTGTGTATGCGAATTCAATTCTTGAAATCTGTCCTATTTGACAGATCAAAATGTAAGTGTACAAGAAAGGAGACTTTCGTTTACTGCGTGTCAAAATTGTTATGAAATAAACTAAAATCAATGTGTATATGTCGTGGTCTAGAATTTTCATGCTTTATGTAACAAAACATTATATTAAATTTATAAATGAAAAAAGAAATTAAACACCCAAACAAGTAAGCTCGGGAGAGGAATGCCCTACTAATTGAGTCCCATAAATCCTAAATCCTAAGATCCATGTCGACGTAGGGTTTCAACCACTTTTACAAGACTTGTGATGCTGCAGGATTTAGGAAGAGTCAAACCCTACTTCCCCCTGCTAATTTTTGTTTGAATTCGTAACATTCATGTTGCACTAGAACAACCTTAACTGTCACTTCTTATTAGTTACCAATTGTTTAACCTAAATAATCTGTGGCGGAAGAGTATTGGTATAATCTGTTTAAATATATATATATATATATATATATAGAAGGAAGAAGAAAAGTAAAGAAAGAAAGAAAACTGCAAAATCACATGCAAACCTTCGGAACTGTACCCTTGGACGAGGGTGCGTCTCCATCAATAGCCTGGTACTCATTCATCTTCCATTCAGTTTTTCGTCCGGTGGGAAATCTTCCTAGGTAGAAAACCATGCTTCTTTTTACGCCGATGGCTCGGTTATCTGAAGCATAAACATAACTCGGAGAACCGGCGGCTTTCCAGTACCCAGAGGTGGTGAGGCGGTTTGGTCTTCCACCCCTGAGTTCTCTCTCCTGCCTCGGAATAAAGAAAAACCATTGCTCTGGATCACCACGACACCTTTCTCCAGCAAGCTCTGTTGAACAATAGCAAGGATTGACAAGTTTCATTCATCAAAATTTTCTTATTTTATTTCTTACTTTCCCAATTAAAGAACATATATATTCATTATTCTCATGCTCACACTGCCGAGTGGTAGATAAACTAAAAGGACGGAACGCTTCATTTTTTTAGCTTGTATTTACATTTTCTAGTCATGATAGATCGTTGTGGAACTTGAAATGGTGTCTTCTTTATCATAAGATCAAAATATATAGGTATTTGATTCCATAAAAACATAAATAATAAATTAAATATATGCGTAGGTACTAAATAATAGTCTCTGTAGAACTGAGTCAGATCTACTACAGATGTGACAGGATTCATTACACCAAACCTATATAGTTGGGTTTAGTTCATTTGTAAGCCATATATGTTAAGAAGTTGTTGTGATTAAGTAGGTACAAGGAATAAGTTAGAGAATTCTGATTAATCAAAATCTGCTGAAACTTGAAACCCTCCAGACAACACTGTACAGGCTAATAGATAGACAGATAGATGAAGGCAAGGAAGAAAAAAGTCAGAAAATTGAACGCTAATTCCTGGGAACCCAGTTACGGAAATTTCAATCGTACGGGGGAGATCGGAAGGATTGAAATCGTAGATGCAAAGGACTGGAATCACCGAGTCGAGGTCCTGTCTGTTTGCATGCAGCTTGCTGTGGAGGTAGAACAATATTAGCTCTTCCTCTGTTGGGTAGAACCGAAAACCCGGCGCCAGATTCTCCATTTTCTTCTTGTGCGCCTTCTCCTCCTCCTCCCTTAGAAAGTAGCTATTTTCTTTCTTCACCTCTTCATTATATATAAATATTCTAGCAAGTGGGTGATTTGATCTTGGTTGAGCGCAAAGGGAAAGATAACCGATTTCAAAGTACGTGCCGACATAGATTTTGGACATGTGACTTTTTTATTAAAATTAATAGAACATATTAAAACAGTCATATATTTAAAATAACTTAAATTTTAAAAAATGTTTATGTAATTAGCCAAAAAAAAAAAGATGGTCTCCGAAATATGAAAATCTAATCATAGATATAAAAGGAGTAAGAAAAAGACTCCAACATTAAGGTGGTTCAATAATTGATTTGGAATTTTGTCCAAGTAAAATGATGCTTGGTCCAATAAATATAATTATATATATTTTTAAAATTGGAATAAATTTTATTATCAGTATTTATAATTATTCTAATCTCTCACTTGTAAAAATAATATCTAAATATACTTATTTCAATTTTATATCTTACAAAATTTTAAATAATCAGCTTAAAATATTATTAAATGAAGCATAAGAGAGAATGCAAACCTAGGTTACGCAGAAACTTCCAAATGTGAACATGAAAGGAAACCTTGGTGCGCTGCATTCCTTATTATATGCCAAAATTGTGTTGATGGTAACAAGTGCATGTTATTTTCAACGCCGAGTAAAGAATTCGACTTTGTTCTTTTTGTTATTTTATTAAAGTTGATTGACTTCTTTTGCTGGATTTTACTCATCTTCGTTCTTAATCTTGTTTTACCAATCAACTGTTGACATCTACGGAATACATATAAGAAAGTTGTCCTCACGAGCAACACACCAGAAAACTTTCTTGTTTTTCTTTTTAATATTTTGTTATTGTCAAAAAAATATAATGAGATGCCTAATTAGAATTAATTAATTAAATCATTTATTTCTGATATATTATATTCATGCATAGACGCTTTCAGCCCATATTCATTTTGCCAATTTTTATTTTGAACTTGTATTTGGTTCCATTTAATTCAAAAGAAAAAAAGCTTAGACACAGTAAAATTGAAAATTTAAAGTAATTTAAAGTAGTTATTTGAAAATAAATAAGTAAGACGAATTCAAAAAAAATAATAAAAAGTTGGCGATGCTTTCTAGATGAAATATAATAATCTGCCGCAACAAAAACAGTTAGAGAGGTTTCTGTTTCACCATGTACCCTGGATAGTCACTTCTGATGTCCTCGTGTCGTGCAGCATGACAAATGTTCGATGCCTCCGAACGAGGATTTCTCTCTCTTTTTTTTCACTTGTTTTAGATTTCTTTTCGTTTTTAACTGGTAATATCTTGACAAGGAAACATGCATGCGTTTCGTTCAATTCAAAGTACTCAATTGTACATCGAATTTATTTGCCCAAGCTTGACTCTCTCTCTCTCTCTCTCTCTCTCCCACCATGATATAAGAGAGAGAAAGGGGTTAAAAAAGGCGGAAGAATCTTTTTGGCTAGAAATGTCTCCCACATAATTTTAAAATAACAAATATGCCTTTACCAATTTTCAAAGAGTTTTGCTTTTTCTTCTCACAATTGATCATCGTCCTCTTGCTCCTAGTGTCTGGCCACCGTTCAGCCGCCATTGCAAATGATGCCAACTGCATCTGCAAACAATGCCACAAAGCGACGCTACAATTCCAGTTGCAATTGCACTTCTAATTGCTTGCAAGTCGACTAAAATTTTCAATTGTCATGACTATTGCAAATCTATGATTGATGACCAACGTGTTTGATTACTGTGGCTCAATCACGACTGCTAGCAACATTGTAAACCCTCATTGAGATTGATGTTGCAATCGTTCAGCGCCAAATCTCTGATAACCTTTGATGACATTGCAACTGCATTCTTTTTTTGATTGTGATTTCCAGCCAAAATTTTCATCATTGTTGTGTCCAATCAACGCTAGATCTCCAACCACTTCTAACAATTGCTAACAATTAATTGTAATTGAAATCCCAGCATTTTTCTTCCTAATTGAAACCCTAACTAGTGGCAGGCAAATTTTTATAAAAAAAAAAATCACTTTTTATATTTTACTAACCCTAATAGTAATATCTCTGGCCACCTTTGATAGCATTGTAATTAACATTCATTGTGATTGCATTCCTTTGATTTTGATTGCTGGAGATTGTTCACCAAAATCTTCATCATCCTCGTCATTGTCATTGTTATTGTTGTCTCCTATTGACAACAGATCTCCAACCGCCTTTGATGATTTCTAATAACTATAATTGAAATCCTAATCTTTTTCTTCTTGATTGAAATCCTAATGAGTGATAGACATATTTTTTTTAAATAAAATCATTTTTTAATGTTTTATCTGAACAAGCTCTAAAATGCAAAATAGATTGTATATTTATAGAATCATTTCCACGACAATCATTTTTCCAATAACACTTTTCAAAAAATTATCCAAATGCACCCTAAATCCATATAGAAAAATATCATTAAATTTCTATAATGAAAACCCAACAAATCCTGTACACACTTTCTCTCAAACTAACACTTTAACATTATTTATATAATCATATAAAATACATATAATTTTTAGTTTGTTACCCTTTTAAGAATAAATGATTTTAAGGTTTCTTTGACCCTTGACTTTTGGAATTCTTCCACTAACTTTATAAAATTCTCTATTAAAAAGTCCAAATTTCATTAAAATAAAAGCAACTATTTAGTGACTTCGTCTGATTTGAATATAGGTCACTTATCTCCTTTGATCGCGCTATGATCATTTTGTACTTTTATTTTTTTATTTATCTGTTTCTGTTTGTGCGCCTCGTGCCCCACTATTTGAATGGAGGGAGACCTGAGTCCACATGATAAAGGGATTTCTTTCCCTTGTTTGTTTTCGCTACTTTTTTTTTTTTTAAATGCAGAATTTACCCACTTTGAGAAATCTTTGCACATGTTTGTTAGCCCGTTAAGGGTCAGATTGGGCTAAATTAACCTGATTTGAGGGCTTAAACCTTGTTTAAAATATCAGATTAAATCCAAAAAAAAAAAAAAAACAATAAAAAAAGGTTTGCCCGAACTCTATTTCAAGGATTTGACTAAATCAATCTTAGGGGATGGGTTTTACCTAAACCAAGTTTGGGCGACCACTTTGCCAGTGGCGGAGCTTATTAGGAGTTGGGGATGTTGGGAGTAGGGAATTTTTCCTTTTTTATTTTAATAGTACACATAATGGCCCTTTCAATTATTTAATTTTGCACCTATTTGAGGATTTCTATGGATAAATTAAAAATTTATAGATAAAATTGAAATGAATTCAAAGTTGAGAGAGTCTATTCAAGGTTAAAAATAAAAATTAAAAAAAAAAGTAATGGCCAAAAGGCTAATTTCACATAGTGAATGAATTTTAAAATTTTAAAGGTAAAGGTGAAACTTACATTATACAAAGATAATATTTGAAAAAAATAATACACAGGTAATAAACGGCAAATATTTGTATTTTTGTAACACAAATTTTGTCATTCTATCCGCTCTTCATACTCATTTTGACATGCATTCATTTACTTATATGTTCTCTTATTAATCTCAAATTCAAGTACTCGTCCTTTATTATTAGCAGTTAGATATATGCATTTATCAGTGAAAAAAAACATAATTAGATTTATATATTTATTTTATTTGAATTTATACATATATATTTTAGCCCCCTAAAAAGTTTTAGTTGAGTTCTACTACTATTTGCCCTTGGTGTCCTTGCTTCTCCTTCCTCCCTCGATCATCATGCTAAATTTGCTTCTACTTCTATTTTACTTCCACTTCTACTCCTGCTTTTGCCTTCTCTACTTTTGGATATACCAAATGGACTTGCATCATTTAAATTAACAAGTCATTTGAGAAGGTATGGCTGGCAATCGTGGTGAACGATGAGCAGAATCAAACTATCATAGCAATCCAAGAAAAGAAGATGAAAAAGCAGCAAAAGAAGAAGTAGAAAGTAAAAGTTTAGGAAGAAAGTGCAATTTCATCATTTTATTTATAACTCACTTTTACTAGTCTTTTGTGATCAAATAATGGTTAAACCTGGGCACTTTTTCAAATATGTGTCACATTGCCACATTCAATATTTCATCATGACAACTTAATTAATTTAACTATAAAACATTGTAATTCACATGAGTTAATAAAAGTAATTATAAAACATGACCAACTGTTGAATGTTAAATACATACATATCAATCAAAAAAAATGCACATATAATTCAGCAATTATTAATTTGTTCGATTTTTTGGAATGAAATTTCTAGTTGTTTCTGATGGCCTTTATTAATATTTGATCATTTTCTTGTAATGAAGACTGTTGTTGGCCCTATGAATTAATTTTTAGTTGACATGATATTTCTTTTCTTTTCTTTTTTTTTTGGGGCAACGTTGTGTCTTGGTTTTTAGCTGTGTTTGGAATTAGCATTATTGGATCTCTCCACTTTCCCATTGCAGTATATAAAAGTATTATTCAAGTTTACAAATTTAAACTTTTTCGTCAAATGGCTACATGTGCACAACCCAAATCCCAAAGGATAAGCATGAGTCATCTTTTTCATCAAGAGGAATGTTTGGCTGGAGAGGGATTTTAAATTCTTATTAGAGTTTGGATGATTAGTATATTAAGAATCCCAGTGATTCAATTTCTTTCTTAGGAAATCCAAAAGACTTAACTAATTCCATCAATTCAAAATATAATTGGCTAAGACCGGCTGTGGACCTCTTTCACCCAGATATAGAGATCTTTATATTGCTATTTGCAAAAGTTATTATTTTCAACAGTTATTTTCTTGTTATAGGATTTTTGCTTCTATGTTATTTTTTTCCCTAAATTTTAGCAAAAAATAAATAAAAGGAGAAGCATTTATGCCCCCATTTTTTATAGTTAGTTGTCCAATTATAAACAATTTGAATTCTTATAAAACAAATATACTCCCAATGTTTTAATTAAAA